TAGAGACTCCCAAACGAGGACTGTGAGAGCTGCAACTGTGATACGCGTGTTAGTATGGAGTAACAGCAGCCAAGGAAGCGACGCAAACGCGCTCACCAGAGGAAAACTCGGTGGCTAACAAGAGAGAGAGATGGGAAGTTGTTGCCGGGGATATGTCTGCCATATGCACTGTCTCTTCTGAGTCGGCAAAATTAGTTGAAAAGGCAACTCGCCAACCGTCAGCGCGTCAACGACAGCCTACCTGTTAGCCTGTTAGCGATCACAGCGCGCTGAGAGCTGGCAGACTCGCTATAGCCATATAATCCTTTCCTACAAGGACAAATGAAATGGTCTGAAAGAAAGAGTGACTGCGTTGACCCATATATTTGTTGCTGACTAGCCCAAAACGATTGTCATTTCGCTTTACAAAACGAGATCCAATGCAAGATCTCGACATTCCGCGTGTTTTCACTTCAAGGGTCAGAAGGTCTTGAAATAATAAACAGTTAGCCGAGATCAGCCTCCTCATTGTGGGTCCCCCAAACCGGGCAATCACCGACACTCAGCGGCTGTGTGGGTTGAGCCAAGCTAGAGTCAAAACCCTGGCTATGGGCTGTTGTCCAGCGCTGAGCGCCAACGCTGGAACTGCCGGCTCGAGAATCTTGCCTTGCAGACGGCTCTCTATGCTTGGGAAAGTCCCGCGCTACGCCTAACCTGAAGTCTTTCAGGTACTGGAGGAATTGTCGACCCGTCACGGTTGCGCTTAAGCGGAGCTCTAACCGACGCTCCGTGAACTTGTGAGAGGAAGTGAGACATTCAAGGAAGATGACAAGTCGCTTTGGCCGGAGGAGGCAACGCTTGAAGGAAAGCCGCCGACTGCTCTTTGTATCCATCTCTTGATGTTCAACCATAGAAAATTTTGAGCAAGGGAGAAGAGGCCATTCAAATCAGAAGGTGTGTACATAGCAGCGACATGCAACTGACGAGCCTCTATCATGATAACGCTTCCCACAATGGCAGGATGATGTGTATCGATGAACCGATCGCAATACTTAATATTAATGATGATCGAGGTACAAAACGCCGAAGATCTATGCAATGTCTCAGTCCGATAAGCATTGTGATGCTGCATTCGGCTTCGTTGCGCCCCACACTTCAAGGCAGTAATCCTAAGCTCTGGCCGAGTTTGAGAGCATAGATGGAACTAGACTCGTCGGGGCGAGCTCCAAAGTTGGCTTTGCGACTTGTCATCGAGCGGGCAATCTTAGAATGGACAAACCCGTCACACAATCCACACGCAGCTACACACTCGACGGTGCCCGAAGCCTCAATACCCTGTGAACTTGAAGGCTTCGATTTCAGATTTGTAGCTAAAGAAGCATGATGTTTATGAAACGTTTATCGCGAAAAATAATGGGGTGTTGAGCGTGCGACGGTAAGCACGCCGGTTTGGGGTGTACACTATGGCAGTGCGACTAAACCACTATCGAGAGTTTTGGGGCTTTTGTCTGCGGAAGGTTACACCGCGGGTTCCAGCGGCGCCACATACTACACTTTCTGCTGCAGTCTCAGCAAATCATACGTTCCTCTGTCGGTCAAGGTTGGTTCAGCAATGGTCTTGGCAGACCATTACGGCCGTCTGAGTGGTCACTTTGGCGACGCAATGGTTTTCAGCGCTTTCTGACGCTATGCTTTGTTTGGCGCCACTTCCCATCGACCAAACCGTTTGCACCATTAGCATACTCACTCCAATCCGGGTCTCCTAGTTGCTAAACCCACTGGCCTCTAGGCTACATATCAATGGAACGCCCAGCTTCTCGTACCGGTCGGCGCGGTGTCTCAGCGCCAATGGAATGTTGAGAGGGTCACCAAAACCGGGTGATCGTAGCGCGTTCTCGCCGGGTCCGCATTGAAGGACGACATTGAGCTATATCTTACATTCCGATCCATTGTATGGCATCACGCATTGCGGGTGAGTCCATTACTTGTCTGCCCTTAGCATCAATCTGACGCAAGTGTCACACCACCCGGAATGGTACTTAAGCTTAAGGAGGTGTTCGGTGCAGCCTCGGAGCAATAACATATGGCTTATACGATTAACGTCCCCCTCGCGGTCAGCGCTGTATTCTCGGTGATCGCTGTTGTTGTTCTTGCGCGGCGCTCAACACGGGAACGCGCAAACCCTTCTGGCTTACCCCTTCCTCCGGGTCCCCGGGGCTTCCCTCTACTTGGAAATATATTCGACATCGACCCTGCTAGACCCTGGCTCACATATACTGACTGGGGCAAGAAGTATGGTTCGTTATTTTTTCGATTCAAGCTTGTATGATCTACTGGACAAGCCTGGCATCCCTCTAGGCGATATCGTCTATTCGTCCCTCCTGGGCCAAGATTACATCGTAATAAACTCTGTCAAAGTAGCAAGAGATCTCTTAGAACAACGCTCCTCAATCTCCTCGGGTCGTCCAACTCCAACCTTGTACAAGCTGTATGCCGTTTTCCGTGGAAGCCTTTCCGAACCAAGCTGATATCTCGTGTTCCAGCTTCGGTGTCGACTTCCTTACTGTGATGTTGGGGAACACCGAGGAATGGAAACTCCACCGCAAGCTCTTCAATTTGACCCTGCGCATGGAGGTCATCGTGGAGCATAGAGACCTGTACTCGCGAAAGGCTCACCACTTGATCCTGAATATGTTGAGAGGCTCTACAGAATCTCCTGGCCAGGTTGAAGAGCATTTGTCAGAGTACTTGCCCTCCGCTGTCATAAAATCGCCCCCGAATCCGCTGATGACCTTTTCAGCTTCTCCACTGCGATAATAATGGCCATCACATACGGATACGAAGTTACCTCTCGAGAAGACCCTTTGGTGGTTCGTGTCCGAAAGCTAAACAAGGTAATCTCGAGCGATATGCCTGCCGAACGCGCCGTTGTGCTGACTGCCTTCCCTCTGCGTGAGTATTTCATAACGCATCTGATGGTCAGTCCTAACGTCTGTACTCAGTTAGGTATCTTCCCGGATGTTTCCCTGGTATGGCCTTCAAGAGAGACGCATCCGATTGTAATACACTCGCAGCCGAAGTCAGGGATATTCCTTTTGATTATGTCAAGGAACAAGTGGTGCGTTTTCCTTCTCCCATTTCAAAGGTTAATGTGTAACAGCACGGGCGCTCGGTGCAATTCACCAGGCTGCGGGGATCGTGAGCCGTTCGATGGTGTCCAATTTTTTTCAGAGCTACAAGGAGGACGACATTGATGATAATATGGAGCGTGCAATGAAAGACACTGCTGCCACTGTTTTTGTCGGTCAGATTATATTTCCTTTCGACTGTCGGGCCGTCACTCACATCCCGTCTTCCAGCCGGAGCCGACACAGTATGTCCTTAAACAAGCATGCTCATTCGATGCTAAGCCATAGCTCTCCATGTAGACGTCTTTTACGTTACTCACATTCGTCTTAGCAATGGTGCTCTATCCAGACGTCCAAACGCGAGCACAAGAAGAGATTGATGCTGTGGTGGGAAAGGATGAGCTTCCGGGTTTTGAACACCGATCTTCCTTGCCGTATGTAGAGGCTATCCTCCGTGAAACCTTGAGATGGCATGCTGTGGCTCCACTAGGTACGCACCTTGACACTTCCGGTGTTCTGACTCAAACCCACCTTGAAACGTATGTAGGAATGCCGCATGTGACCACTGCGAGTGACACTTATAATGGTTATTATATTCCGAAAGGCATGTCTGAAGCGATATTCACACTGCCCATTTTATTGACTAATCGATCACTAGGAGCAGTGATGGTGTATAATCTCTGGTGTGTATGTGGTTGCCCGCATTATGCTGTTTCTAAACGAAAATCTTAACCACCAAGGGCGATGTCGCGTGCTTCACCTGACGATGCTGATCATTTCGATCCTGCCCGATACTTGCTGCCATACGGGCAACTCTCTCCAAAGGACTCGTTTTCTGTCAGTCCTTCCTTCGGGTTTGGACGGAGAGTATGGTGAGCGAAATAATGGGTGTTTTGTTAAATGTCTGATCACAAACCTCTATAAGCCCTGGCAAGTTCCTTGCCGAAGAATCGATATGGATTGCGGTTGTGACGATGCTTGCCACATTACGCTTTGCGAAAGCACTGGATGCGGATGGGAGAGAAGTCGAAGTGACGCCGGAATTTACAACAGGCAATGTCATGTATGTGATTGGCCCAATTTCATGCGTTACTTTGGAGCTCACCTCCTACTAATGATACGCTGCCAGACGTCCCATCCCATTCGGGTGTCGCACTACGAGCAGATCTGCTGGGAGGGTAAAGGAACTTCGAGCTGAATTTGGCCCGACATAAACCCTGCCAAAGTATGTGTCAATCGAACAGTGCACCGATCTCAGTTGATTGCTTTGGGTTATTGCCTGGGGAAAGTATGTGCTTACTTTCAGTTGTCCAGCACGATTCTGTCCTTGTAATCACATTTTGCTGTGGGAACATCCAAGTTGAGAACATGTGCTGAATATGGGGTTCTGAACCTCTGTTGTGCTGCACAGAATGTATCACAAAGCATAAGTTGTCGCACCGAGGCTGCCAACAGCTCGGCATCTTTGCACTGACAACTAAGTGTCCCAGTCACAACCAGGCAGCTTGTCCATTATCTCAACTCGAGTGTGATAACTCCCTTGAACTATAGAGAATCTCACAGCTTCCCCTTTACTATTGTGTTCAGGGGCTGCACTTGCCATTCTGTTGCTTACCTTGACATAGCTGAAGATGACCAAGAAAGATAGACTATCTCTGCCTCCTGGCCCAAGTCCTGTGCCGTTCCTCGGAAATCTCTTGAAATTGACTGGCTAGCTTCTACAAAGTGGGGAAAGCAACATGGTGAGCACTTATGTGGCTTGCTAATGCTGTACCCTGAATACTTGTGAAGGAGAACTGTTCACTACTTTGTCTCTGGGGAAAGATTTATGTGCACTATCTGGGCATTTTGTGTTTCTTATGTAATATGTAACATTGACTCCAACATCTACATGGCCGACTAGCTCAGTTGGTTAGAGCGTGGTGCTAATACATGGTGAAATGATAGGCTCAATCCTCATCTATTGGGCTTATTGTTTCGCTGTTACGCCAAGGTCTTGGGTTCGATCCCCACGTTGGCCATTCTTTTGCTATCATCCATTGATGGTTTGAGTTCTTTTTATTCACCGTTTCTTTCAGACTTTGTTGTGGACATTACTATCCCTTACAGTGGTTTTGGTGGAACCCCCAAGTTGGCAGTCACAATGTGACCCAGCCAAATTTGCAGAAACAGTGTGACAAAAGTGTGACAACTACCTCATTTAGCATGATTTCAGTGCTGACACGAAAGCCTCAACAACTCTTTCAGTTCATCAACAACACACCTCAAAAATGCACACAGTGCAGCATCTGACATTGGAGAGTCAATGTCAACTGAGAGCCCTTGTAATCCATCAGCAGCAAAGGCTGGATGGTCCAAAAACTCCTTTTTCCACCCTATGTCAATCTCGTCAGTTTTAAATAGACTGTCCAAGGTATCATGGTCTCTGAAAGCACCACGGCGCAGACCTATGGCTAAAATAAGCAGGCCAAGATCCAGAGGGATGTGAGCAGAGTTCTTGATAGGGCCTATTGTGAATACTTGACCATGTCAGTTGGGCACTTCAGAATCAACACATTGTGAATAACTTGAATGAGTGACTCACTGCTATGGTTCTAGTCCATGTCCACCCTTCCAGCCAACAATTTTGATGAGTGTGAAAAGCCACACTTTGTGCCTGTGCATTTGAGCAGGACATCCTGAGGCACAGTTGCGTCAGTTTCAAGCTGACAAGGCAGTTACCATTGCCAGCACACCTGAAAGCAAAGGTAGAAGTCTGGATAATGCTTGATCTTGACTACAGAGCTGGGACACACTCCAGTTGAGATTATGATTGCCCAGAGTGCCACATGTTAAGGGTCTGCCCCACAATTAGATGCCATATCCTGCATATATGATAACACTCACATTGTCAAGGGATTTCAAGTTGCCCAATGATGATGATATTGCTCTTTCTGCCAACACCCAAACCTCATCTGGACCAAAGCAACACTTTGGTCGCTTTTCCTTCAATAAATTGTAGTTGGTTTACATTGTACCAAGAAGCTGGCAGTAGGAATGTATTAGCAAGGTCATCAGCGTAGGATATATTACAAAAATAACCTTGTTTAACTTGTGTCGCCATTCATGATGTAATGCCATATTGTTGGACTCTTCCCTGCAATATTCTTCCATTTACATAGATAATGTGAGCACTGTATAATGATAGTATGTGCCAGGGCATGCTAGTATGCACCAAAGACAGAACATCCCATGTGAGTGTCTTCAGGCAGGAAAACGACATTCACTGACCTTCGCTGATTGATGATTCTGAGACTTGGATGCAAACATTGAGAAAGTATTATACTCTTTCTAGTACATTGTGTCAACAAGGTGGGGTCAGATATAAAAAGGCAGCCGTACCTAGCAGAAGAACACTTGAAAACTCTTTCCCAACAAACTTTTTATAATTGGCTGAACCTGTATGGATAACTTCAAAGTGCTTGGCTACATGAGCACAGCTGTTTTTGGTGCTTGCAGCAAACAAGTTGGCGTCACTGCTGACTGAGCACATCAGCTTTGCAAGCTTGGTCATATCTTCATCTTGAAGCATTGCGTCCATATTAGCATGAAGCTTCTTTGCATTGGAGCAGTTTCGAGTTTTGAAGGACTAAAGGTCAGTATTACCAGCCATAATTATGATTAAGTTTGGGATGAAGGAGGCATGGTCTGAAAGATATTGTCACTTTTGAATTCAACTACCAATGCCGCAAAAAAAGGTATACATTATCAAATTGCAGTGCTACAATAGTAGTGTGGTCTACTTGTGATCAAAGTCCTGGGGCTAATATTATACATAGTTGCAGGGGAGACAGATATTGTGATTGGGGCAAGAGCAAAGGATGAAAGTGATACTGGGAAGCTGCTGGTTAAATTTTTTTGGAAAGAATGGGTAATGTGTTCTTCTCAGCAGTGTTGCTGGGGGAAACAGACATGACATCTGCCAGTTGAATATCAGGAAAATGCTCACGCAGAGCTGCACCCAGTGCTGAAGGGTGTGTTTCTCCTAAGAACATGGAAAAAACAGTGTCTACAGAAGGCAAAGAAGGAAGCATGACCTGGGTTCAACCATTGACCTCTCTAGCATCATTCAGTGCCAATTCTTGAAGATGGAGCTCATGAGCCTTCAGTGCGAACTGAAGGGTGGCGTGAAGAATGTTAGTGTGTCCTATATTCTGTGTCTCTTGTGCAAGATGAAGAGTAGATCCTGCTTGTAATCCCAAAAGATAGATAGGGAGGAACTTCTTTGCATCCTTGCCCAATGAAGCAGGGATAGAGGTTTTAGCACCACCGAGAAGCAATGCAATCTCAGGGTAGTTGGGCTCCTGCAATTGCTTGCCAGCTAAGAGTGTCATGGGAACATAAAAGGATAAAAGGACTTATGTTTTCCTTCTCCACCCTTACAGTAGGTGTAGGCACTAGCTTTGATGAGGTAGCAATAGGCTATGACAAAGGCGATCATGAGTTGTTTTCAATCATCAGGATATGTATGGTACTTACGTTCTGAGGGTTTTCTTTAGCTTTACCTTTCTTTGCTTTCTTTGTGCTCTCTTTGACTCCCGGAGACTGATTATGAACTATGAATTAAGAAGAGTAACAATAGAAAAGAAAGACAAACTGCAATCTTTTTGATACTGTCCTCACGCTCAATGACAACCTGCTTTTTAGCACCTTTACCAAGCCTAGCCTTCTTGCAAGTTGGCCCATTGACAATAGGGATTAGCACGGGTAAACCCGTGGGTATCGGGAGCTCTACCCGTACCCATACCCACATGACACCTGTACCCGTATACCCAAGGGTGCTGGTGGGTACGGGTATGGTGGCGG